CGCGGCCCGATTTTGTACGCAGGCTAATCGAGGGGGTGAAAGTAAGGCACCAATTCTTCTTGCCTTCAAAGAAAAGGAAAATTTGATGAGCGCTCGCGGAACACCAATTTAGTATACTACAAGCTACAATTGAAAAGTAAAAAAGATGGATCCTTACTCTTTAATAGATTGCAGAGCTTTGTTTCTCAGTTCTGTTCTCTTCTTGTCGCTATCCTTCAGCTGGTTGTCTTTCTCCTCCAACTGTTCTTCCAGCTCTCGCACGTCTTTGCTGGCTTCTTTCAGTTTCTTGGTCACAGTCTCCAGCTCGTTCATGTAGCGTTTCTTCTGTTCTTCGCTTTCTTCGTACTTGGAGAGCAGATCTCTCATCTGGCTGAGTAACCTCTCCTGCTGCTCGTCCTTTCGATCCATGTCCTGATGCAGAAGTTCCAAGTTGTTTAACATGTCCAACCTGACAGAAAAGCGAAAGGTGGTCGTTATTTCCCCTTCATAGCAATATCAATCCTATAACGTCAGCACACGACGGGCTTTAGACAAGAAAGAATGAAGAGTAACAGAGTTAATCCCCTTATTGATATGCCTCGCTTTGTGAGTGGGAAAGATGAACCAAATCCTGCGCTGTGATTGGCTACCCGAGCGGGCAAGATGGCGCTATCTTACCGGCTCGGGACTACCCGCTGTGTCCTGCAGGGAAAATTTTCCCAAAAGCCATATAATAAATCCTTTATTGACCGAGCTTGTTCGGTCAAGATGGCTGGATATTGGCCTCATACCGAGTTTATGATCCTCGACTCCGTCTCGGTCCATAAACACGCAAAAAAAAGAACTTGGCCAATATCCAGCGGTCTTGACCTCACGCTTGGTTGATAACCATGTATATGCATCGTAGGTCTTATTCCCAAGGTAATCCATCTTAAGTTATTTATAGGCATGGTACCCAGTTCTTCCACTGATACGTTAACACACGTGTTGCGTGGATGTTTTCGTGGAAGTCGAAAATTCTAACGGTATTTGATGAAAATCATACTTGCAATAGCTGTCATTAACAATTGCAAACGAAAACGTTTTATACAGAGGGAATAACAAAAAGTAGATAACTCACATTTATTTGTTTAATGCAAACAGTTTAAGAGTTTCATTTCCAGGTCTGTGACTTGTAGTGAGGTATTGGAAAATAGTGTTGCACCAAAACCTATCTTGCAGAAATCTGGCTAAATTAATTTATGTCATTCGGCCCATTTAATGGAATAAATAAATAAAATGAAGAATGAAAATGAAATGTCTTTGTCTTGTAAAGAACACCTGTGATTGCTTATTCTCGAGTCCTGACCCAAGGGTGTCCCTGGCGGGATATTTGACGATAGATTTATTGTGAATCATACCTATCCATATCCTCCCCTCCCCTCAAGTTTCTTCCAGCAAGTCCATCATAAAAAGACTCTCCGGCAGGATGCCTGCGATCCAGGTCTCGCTCCAACTCAAATCGATCCAGGTTCCTCCTCATCTCGGACACGTGGTCGCCTCCAGGCCCCTCGGTTCGGCCCATGCTCCTCCTGAGTTGAGCGGTCCCTGAGGAGGTTGGGCCGAATGACTGACGTCTTTGAGCCGCGTTTCTCGTCATTCTCGTCACCTGCTGCATCATCTCATCCTTTTCTCGCTCAGACTTTGCAACCTAACAAAAAAAAAAATGCTCTTCCTCTGTGACTAAATAAAATTCTCCCCTGGTTTGGCTTATGACTAATAAACTCTTAGGCCCCGTTCACACTACGCTGGAGGAATTTTAAAACGGAGGTTTCATTCCGAAAACACGTCAATTTTTTTCCATCCACACTACGCCGGAAGAATTTATATCGCAACAATCACCGGTCATTTTGGATTTATGTTTGAGAAAATCTCAGGCGGGGAAATAACCTGATCATCGTGGGGTCATCGTTTTCAAAAGCTCCGTCTCCAAAATGTTCTCTCTCCACATAAAAACGAAAAGTCGACGTTGTCAAATTCCTCTGGTTTGCAGAGCGTTTTCGAACTCTCAGGGGAAAAGAAAAGTAGTTCGAAATAGCTGAAAGCAAATTGCTGAAGGGCAAATCCAAGGGAAATACTGTTGAGTTCGAAACAACGGGGAATTCGAAATAACCGAATTCGAATTTGCGGGGTCCAACTGTATTATCAGATCAAAATGAAATTCCTTTTTTACCAATAGTTTAAACAAAAACAGGAATATAATCCTTAAAACAACAACTCGAAGAAATATTTAGTTTCTGACAATTAAGTTTTGGTACTTGCAGGTTGTTGACATTTACGAACCGAGAGCATTAGCTTCCCGGAGCGAAAAGAAATTCCTCAAAATCCTTACCTGTCCCCTGAGGGTTTCAAGTTGTTCCACAAGCCGTTCACGGTCGCCTTGCCCTTCTTCCATCTGTCGATTCAAACTTTCCAAGCGGTTCTGAAGTCTTTTACGAACTGATTCATTGTCCTCTAACTTTCCTTGAGCCTCTTCCAGTTTTCTAGACAAGTCGTTTCTCTCAGTTTCTGCGCGCGAAAACTGTTGACGTAATTGTTCTGCCTTCAGAGTAGATTGAAAACATTAAATGAACATTCAGCCATCAATTAGAAGTTAAAAGCTGCCTACCAGTTTCTTAAAGTGTATCAATGAATCTTGTAATATATCAAACACGAGAAACAGTGTTCCATCGGGATATCCAAACACCGAGAAGAGAGTTAAAAATACGATGCGCAGCGGAGTATTTTTGACGAAATTCGAGGCGTTTGAATAGCCGATATAACACTGTCTCGAGTGTTTGATATATCGTCTCAATCGAAACGAAAACTGAGGAGTAAACGAAGAAGTAAAATCGTCAAAATCTTTGCTAATTAAGACCGGGTATCCAAACCTCCTTCACGGTTGTGATTTTCTTTGTTTTAACTTGATGAATTACTAATGAGTTTGAGAAAAGTTGTTCAAAACTATTCAGAAAGATGAATCTTAAGTCAAATGAGAACGTGGTCTAGCGAATAGAAAGCAGACATCCCAGATAATCTACAATCCTGGACAAAAGTCTTGGGACAAATTTGCACTTTTGGCGCTTTTGCACACACAGCAGACACGAATACAACTTCACCTGCCTAACCTCACCCTCACCCCACATACAATGTTGAAAACTAGTCCTGCAATTTCTTCTGAGTTTCAACATTGTATTGGCCGGATGGGGAGGGGGAACAGCAACGCCTTTTCAAAAGGAGAGCAGTTCTTTTTCAAACTTCAGTTGTAAATCACAGATAATTCGTTGCCATATATCAATGCCAAAAGGACTTTGGTCCACCCAAAAATGCTCCCGCAGAAACAGGGATGTGAGTTTCAAGCCAAGAACACGATCCGATAATTTTACGAGAAACAAGCGTTTGAAAAATACAACCATGTCCCCTCGCTCCAGGTAATTTTCTTCCTTAAAACGAGGTTGGCTACATTACCTGATCAACCAGAGCGTTTTTTCCTCCTTCGCTCTGGTCCAATCTCTTTGTGGCAGCATCTAGCTCGGTCATGACCTCCCTGCGTTCCCTCTCGGAAAGTTCCAGTCTCCCCGAGAGATCTTCCACCCGAGAGGCCAGCAATCTCTTCTCCCGCTCGCTCTCCTCCAGGGCCCTACGTTCAGTTTCTAGCTCACTAAACAACAACAACAACAAAAACCACAAACATTCGCTATGACAAAGGAAAATTTATCAGCAGCTGTAGTGGATGGAAAGCGTTCGTTAGGGTGAAAATTAAATATATATGTGCTTTATTCAGACAATGACAGATACGAATATTATGATCAACTTACCACGATTATCAATTGAGCAAGGCGCGACGGAGCTCTGGTGACAAAGTTTTGGACTTAAAATTATGGTGTTGCCACGGGCAACTTTCCACGTTTCCATGGTAACATTATCGTCGCCTGCAATTTCGCGCACTTTGCTGCTGTTGAAGTCAAAGGCCGACAGGTCGCCACTGGAAACGGAGCCAGTTGCCAGTTACAACAACAAAAGTTGAACGTTAAAACTTGGTCACCAAACTTTCGTCGCACCTTACTCGTCTGATAATCGTTGATGATCGTAGAAAAAAAACTTTGAAAAACAATCACAAAATGAGACTATATTTTCACTGTTAAACACATTTAAAAAACATACCTTGCCACTGAGCGGATTTCTTCTCGTATTTTCGTGTCGTTTGCTTCATCCAACAAACTCTAGAAAGATCAATAACAATAGGTGAAAACTGTTCCGGATAAATGTAGTTTTATGATTGCGTTAAGAAGGAAAGAAGTGAAGAGCAGAATATCAGTTTTAAACCTTTAAACAACAGTTCAAATTGTCGATAAATTTCAGCACCTTTTTTATAGAACTAGTCAACTTTTTTTGAAAACTGTTTTAGCGTGCTAGCAAAACCATGAAACTACAGTTCATATTTACAATCTATAAGTCTTTTGCAGTGACTTAATTTGTTACCGCAGGAGAGCATGAAGGGTGTTTACTCAGTGCATAGTTATTGTTTGTGAGTTAATCCCCCACATAAATCTTATGCTCAAAGTAATCGCCCTCGAGTTATTTTTAGACATGGTATCCAGTTCTCCCGCGGATAATGTCACCACCCACACTGCTTAGATGTTTTCGTTGACGATCAAAATTACTGTAAAGTCGTTTCGGCTTCGCACGTGATTATATTCGCGTCACAGGATTAGCTGTCTCTAGACTCTCCTGAAATGTCTAAATATGGTAGTGATCTAAAAATAACCTGAAGGGATTACCTTGGGAATAAGGTCTTTACGGGGGATTCACTCTCTCGCCCTTCATTTCTCTTGCTATATAGAGTTCTAGAGACAATCCCTTCTTCAAATCTAACCACGTATTTCCACGGGGTTTAACACGTTTTATTCTGGTTCGTATTGTGTGATCGTCCGGGTGAGGGTAGTCCTGAAAACAACTGTTTTTGGTGGCTGACGCTTCGTAAACCTGAGCAGAAGTCACCTCCAGAGTCAAGTGAATAGTGTTTGTCAGTCGATGGTGTTATAAGTCTGGTCCATTGAAAGAGATTGGTCAGTTTAGCCGTGGTGGTATCGACAGACAAACACTATTCACTTGACTCTGAAGATGACTTCCGCTCAGGATGTCGAAACGTCAGTCACCTGACCAACAACAGTTCTTTTCAGAACTACCCTCACCGACGGACGATCACACTGATACTCCTGAGTTCAAACCATTTACTATATTACGTTTTATTCTACTTATTAAAAGTTCTCAGAACGAATTATTAGCTCAAATTAGTTACCTCAGCTTTTATTGGATTTATATTTTCAACTTTTTATAACATATACTTCTTATAATAGTATTATTTGTTTTCACGGGCATGTTCAAGGCGATTTAAACTCACAGTTAACAAATAGTCTTATATAGTTCAATAAGCCAGTGAGGTTAGACTAAAGTTTGGGGTTTAGCAATTTAGCAGTAAGTAGTTCAGTTATAGTAAAGCTGGGATTAAGAAGTTTCAAACTTGATTTTCCTAAGCTTGTCTCAAGAAGCGGAAAACAAGAGAAGAAAATGCTTGGCAACAAAGCAAAAGAAGTACGTATGTACGTATGAAAGATTGTAGTTACCCTAACATTTCGCAATTCACTGGCAAGTTGACCGACTTCTTGTTGTTTCCTCTCCCAAGATTCTCGCTCCGCACGCATCTGACAATCGCATCAGTGGAATAAATAGAGACATGTTGATACAGGCGCACACAGCGCAAGTGACAGTGCAGTGCAGTGCAGCGTGGTGGATTAAGACACAGGAAATAGGTCAGGCCAGAAGTTTATTCTGGTTTAACACATAATGCAAAATATAGATAAAACAACATACATGTTTACGGTAAACATTGCCGTCATCCTTTGACTTGGTTTTGATTAATTTTTGACAACTTTGACATCTTTGTCAATTTAACTTTCTTTTGTCCTCCGTTGAAACGAACTGCGGTCGTTTCGCCCGAAAGTCAGTTCGCCCGGACTGTTTGCTCCCTGGTCAATGGACTAAAGAATGAGAAAAATCCTTCCTTGAACTTTCAGACCGGGCGAATAGACTTATCGTTCGGGAGAACTGGCTATCGGGCAAAACGACCGCTTACCGTTAAAACTAGTCAGCGGATGAAATTGCAAGGGTTATGGGACGCAAAGCTGGATTAAAAAGATCAATTATCAGAATTCGAATGTGAAGGTTTACAACTCCGCCCTTCATACTTCTTGCTACTCCAAAGCTAACACTGAAGTTGTCAAAAAGAAGACAAAAAGTACCAAGAAATAAATCAAAACCTCTGTCAAGAGGAAACGGTGGCAGGGGTGATCTTCACTGCAAATGCTTTTCACAAGAAAGATTGCCAACAACAGACCTTTCTAAACTTAGCTGAACTTAGTGCAAGAGTGCAAGAGTGCAAGGTGCAGACTTCTCAGAAGAAAGCCTGTGTCCAACTATTTTCGGTTCTGTCATGACAATCATTGCAAGTGAATCCGTTTGAATATCTCGCCGCTGTATCTCAACACATTTTCGTGAGTGCATGTTCATACTTTTACCTCTTTTTGTATTTCCTTGAGTCTGTTTTCGATTTCATCTTGCTGTGATTTTTGATTGGCCTGCAACTGTTGATAAACCACGTGAAGTTTTGAGAGAACTTGATTCTCAGGGTGATTTTTAATGTAAACCCCCCCCCATGACACCAGTGCAACTATTAGTTGTCAGTTAAATTGTTACTCAGATTATTTAGATAAATAGAGAATAAAGATCAAGTTATTAATACTAAATTAAAGTGCACCATTAAACATTAGGTACCATTAACTTGAAGTAATTTTTAATGGTTACAGTTAATCAAACACTTCGTTATGGGTTATGCATCAGCATACATCACATTGAAGTAACAGTTCTACATGTATGTGCAGAAGTGTGTTAAAGTTACCTAAAATTTATGTCAACTTGATAGCATTACAGCAAAATATTAGTACGCAGTGACATTAGCAGTAAAATATTGATTATAATTAAAATTGTCACAGTTGCTTGTAACAGAGAAGTCTGGGATAAATTATTAAGTTTGGTACAGTTTATCAGCATCTCATTAGAAATTACCATATTACGGAAAATTTGAATTCATGTGTTGTTGGGTTCCTCAGTATAACACCCCTCACTAGACTAAAGTGAACTTAAATGAATGGAATTAGGAATATGGAAAGAATAAAAGAACTTTGTTTGACTCAGCCACCTACCCCATCCAAGTCCATCAGTCTGCTGGTAATTACCAGTTTTAAAATAACTGCAGAAATTCTTACGTGCTCATTGGCTAATTTTGATTGTCAATAAGCAAACAGACACATGAATTTATAATGTAAACATTTTTATGATCTCGCATTTTGGCCTAATTTTGTCCTTCCTGCGTTTTCATTGTTTTAAAACACAAATTGACATCAGTTTTTCGTGCATCTGTCCAGTTATTGACGATGAATTTTGTCATAACACTGTCAAAGTAGTCTATGTATCCACTCGCCTATCAACTCATGGATCCACAGCTACATTGACAATATCACGACGAAACTAATGAAAGGACAGATGCATGAAAAACTGACTTCAATTTGTCAATTAGAGTGCCGTGAATTTGCTATAATAGCTATCACACTGGTCACAGAAAAGTAAAAACAGATATTGGGTCACTAAGAATGGAATAAAATAGCTACATCTCATGAGTCTTGAAAGAAACTTCTGCAGTTTACTTGCTGAAATAACATTGCAGTATCTGACCATTATCCATGCTAGAAATTGATGTATACCTCCACAAGATTACTTTCTTAAGAAATAGAAAATTTGTTCCATGTTTCTGTCGAGTTATAGTTCAAATATACGATTATAAACCAATCAGCGTGCCTATTTTCCTTGAGCTATTTCCTAAAAAGACACGTAACATCATCAACTGACAATGTTCCAACATTCACAGGAGTATCTCACCTGTTGTCTTAAAGTTTCAAGCTCTCTGTCTCTTTCTGAAGCCAATCTTTGACTTTCACGTAACACATCACGTTCTGCATCTAATCCCTGCAACGTAAAAGTTCTTGTTCCTTTTTTCAGTTTCTCTTTATGGATCAAAACAGCAGTACTTTGCACTGAGGTTTCACATTCAAGCTCACAGTAACAAAAGGCTTTCCTTGGGCTTGCAATAGCAAAATTATAGCAAGCTAAGGAGATTATCACTAGCCTTAACTAGGACTTCAGCTTGTCGCCTGCTAGCCTCCTCTGTTTCCCGCAGCTCATTAAGAAGCCTCTCTCTGGTCAAGGATTGAAATGTCATTGTTAACACCAGAAAAATAATTCATTTAAAGTAGACATTAATTAAATCAATACCTCACTAAAATTTGATATCCCTGCTATCTCAAACTCAAATCATATTTCTTTGGTTTCTCCTTTTTCAGACACTTGCTATCAGCTATCTTGAACCCCTAACATCTCAAACTTTTTTGTTTGAGTTTCAATCACCCCATGTTAAGGGGATGAACCCCGCCTTATGGCCACTCCGTTAATATGGCCACCGCATTAATACAGTCACTTTATTCTGGCCCAAATAAAAGCTCAGTCAGTCATTTTCTTAGTTAGAAAACACCTTTAATGCAGCCACCCCATTAACACAGCCAGATTTTTGTGGCCCGTTATTGATTGGATTAACAGGGTTCCACTGTGTGTGCAGAATGTGAAATAACAAAAAAAAAAGTTGTAAGAAATAAAATTAATACCTCTCTGCTAAGTCAGCTCTGGAGATAACATCTGTAGAGAAATGAACAAAAAAAAACAATGTTCAATACAATAAGAATGCACAAAATGTTATTATGCGACAATCTGATCACAGAGAATAACACTTGACAGCATTAATTTAATCAATACCTGATGTTCCATTTGGACCTCGCTGGTCATGTCTGCCTCCCCAAGAATCCCCATCAACTCTGTAAGTCAGAGCAAAAAACAATATTCAGTAAAAATCAGAGATAACCAGTAAATAATAATTTCATTTATTAGCTCAAGATCTTCTGTTAGACATTTCTATTCTGGACATGATTGATCATCCCAGTTTTGTACACAACTTAAGCAGCTGTGAAATTAAAGCCTGAAAAAAAAAAACTGTGATAATGATGATGATGTCTTTGTATCTTTCTCCACAACTTTCAAATATATGATCTTTCATATGTTCAGTTGTAGATTTCTATCCTGTTTGGCTATTGTTTTGTTAGGCATCTATTTCAAAAACGCTGTCTGACTGCACAGAATGTCTAACCCTAACCCTAACATTTTCCTTCATTGAATCTAGCATCATCTAGCATTGAACTGGGTTGAACCTAAGTGCTGTGTTAAACCAACCTTGCACGGTCTTCCCTTTCTCTTTCCAACTCGCCTGTCAATCGATTTTGTTCACTTTTTAGATTCCTGACTGCCTGTCTTAGCTGGTCAACCTGCAAAAGGAGCACCCCAGATGATTTGACATTCTATTCTTGACAACCAACTAAATAAACAAAGCAACAACACTGACTTACATCAGATCGAACATCCTGGTCAAACCGCACTGGTAATCTCTTTCTAGCTGGCCTTCCATGTTCATCCTCTGACTGAGCAAAATAAATTAAAAACAAAATGGGAAAAACCATAAGGCATAACAATCAAAATTAAAAGAAAAGAACACAAAAATATTGATCTTCACCTACAACAAGAGCCAATAACCTGTGATGACGAGGGAGTCGCAGGAAGGCGCCTTCTTCTTGAAATTCGTTCCCTTCTCAAAATGTCTGCAGATTTTTCAAGTTCAGCCCTTAACTAATAAGAGGAACACAATCATAAAATTTCAATGATGTAACAGAAACAAGGAAATCTCTCTGAGGCAGACATTCTTGTGACTAGTTTTAGTGACAGTCCAACTTAGAGAGGTGTCCACTTGAAACAGAGTTCAGTTTTAATTTAGTGTTAAGGCAAGCTAGTGAGATTCAGCCTTTGCCTTAGAAACGTATCATCATCATATTGGTGTCTACTCTAAAAGACAGGTCCATACTGTATTAGAAAAACACTACACAAGTTTGCAATTCATTGAAAGCACTAACACCATGTTCTACCTTTGCAATTTCTTCATCTTGCTCGACATTTATATCTCTGTAGTGCTCCAGCATGCGATCTGCTGTGGATAACACCTCTGTGGTCGCTTGCAGTGATGCTGCAAGGTCCTCAACTTTCTCAGCCACCACTCCACCCATTTTGGGTCGTGAAGAGGCAGCACGGCTGGGATGGCGAGGGGGAGAGGGTGGTCGAGCGTAAGGCTGACGGAGATGGCTCACTCTGAGAGTGCTTCTTCTTGGAGGTCGAGTTGCAGGAGGGTCATAACTTGCGCTATCGTCAGTTTCATCCCAAGGGCCTGTGCTTGTTGCCATCCATGTACCGTGTTACAGTTACACCCACCCAGGTTCAGCATCAGCAATTGAGCTTAAAGCAGTGTTTTAATGGCTGTCATAAAGCAACAAGTGATCAAGAAGTCATCAGAACTAAACAAAGTAAAAAACTTGTCACTAGGAACAATCTCAGGAACTATCAAAATTAAATCAACCAGTCTCATTCCCAGAGGCTATAATCCTTCAAGGTCAATACCAAGAACTGGACCTCTGGGCAAAATCAGAACAAGAAAACCCAGCATTAATCAGAGTAGTTACTTTAACCCAGGTTCAGAAACCATTATTCACCTTGGACACATGCAAACAACAAAACCAGGCCTGCCTTGTTTGAAAGGTGGACAATGCTATCCAACTAATAACTTGCAATCCAGCAGATACTGTGGCTTGTTTTGTTACCACTTATCCACTGGATAGCGATTTATCTGATAGATAGTGCTTTCCAGTCCTCAAGAACTAAGGCCAACTTCTTTTGCTTTCTGGCCCTTTCATTCTCTTTAGGAAGCCATTTGATATGCAGCACCAAACTCACAGTCTAGCTTGCAGTAAAAGCATGGAGTTTGTTAGTCAAAAGAGTAATAAAACCAGTATCAAATATGTCTATTAACTTACTGATCATACATTTAGACATTTAGTTAGTACATATTTTTTGCTTTAATTTATAATCAGCTGCAGAATGATTGAAAGTATTTGCTCTTGCATTAATTCTAAAACTCTCTGTTTAAATAGCACTTATGTAAACAATTTTACTCTCAAGTGGAACGTTAAAATCTAGTAAAAAACAGTGAACTAAAGTTACCAAAATTGTTACCCAATACTTGCCTCAGCTTTGTTATGTTGTAGATTTTTCTGTGGGTAACTTCTTCCCAAGGACAAGCAAACCAATCATTGGCTGTAGATTGTCTTTGAAATCAACTGAATTGTTTTGATTGACTTGATAAAACAAAAATGTTACCAGACCACCACAGCATGATTCTCAGGTTATTTTTAGAAGCAGCATCTTATGCCATGCACAGCTTAACTTCCACTTACTTTTTAATGTGACCCTTTATTAACATTCAACATGATCAATTTAAAAACATAATTAACATGATACATTTTCAAACATTTAAACCGTAGGATGATCACATTAACTTAATGTCAGATAATTTATGCAAACTTGCATATTGATTTGACAACTAATTTCCCTCCCAAGAGAATGGCTTTGTAATTGAATACAAACAATGGTAGAATATTGTTATGTTTACTCCAGCTACACAATGAAAGGATTAGCTAGGTGTCCACCAGGCTTTGCTATTGAAAGCCATTTAATCTTCACATTTTAATTAAGGCAAAAATTCAAAAACAGTGTTTAGAAAAACAAATAATAGAATGTAATCAAAGACCAGATGCTAACAGCATAGGAAATATAATGGAGAAAATAAAAAATTGTTTAGCTCAATACTCAAGGAATTTGCACTCTAGGAGACACTTTTCAACGTCATCCTAAAGTGAAATCACCTAATCTGTAATTTTAATCGGCTGAAAACAACGTTATTTATATAATTCGTCTGACACTGATAGATTTAATACCTTTTCGTTCCATTGATCACTTTGTTCCGATAATTGAGCTGTAAATGGGGGCAGCCTAAAATAACCTGAATAGCTAGCTCAGCATGTAACGGTCTGTATGTTTAATTCACCTACTGGATATCCATGCACGCAAAATAATTGAAATATTTATATCAATAAATCAATCTTCTATTTCTTTAGTTTATAGAGAACTAAATCCTGCTGTTCCAACTGCATACAAGAGATCAAACGGTTCTTAACAGGAGATTCCTAACATCTGTTCAAGGCATTTACCATTTGTCTTGCCAAACTAGTCACCCCTATGGGTGAAATAAAATTCTGTTATAATTTCAGGTTTTGGGTCCATGATTATATAATTAGTCAGGGCAGACGTCCGTTACTATCATTATCATCACGTCCGGATCTACCTTAGCCACAGTTTGACAAAATTCCAGTTGCAGTTCTTAAAATAATTGAATGTTTGTAAGCTGAAGTAGATCCTATTTGATCAGCTGTCCTTTATAATATAGTATCAAATTTTAAAATACAAAATTATTCTCTTGAATACTTATAGCCAACAAGTACTGGATTTTACCGAAAGGGTTTAAGCTCTTCACTTTCAAGAACTTGTGATCGATAAAACATCATCTACCTAGCGAGAGTATTGTGGTGATTCACCTAGTTGCGAAGTGGAAGGAAAACAAATTTCGATTCAAGCTTCTATCGCAGATCAATTGACATGCTTTTTAAGAGGTGTAACAGAACGCAACAGTATTTCATAGAAGACATACTCTTCCGGATGTCTTTCAAACTAATTGAAAATAAGAAGTTCACGCACAGACGTCTAGTAAGCTTTACTGAATGCACGTCTTTCATTCAACAGTATAATGCAATACCATGGCCAAAGCATGAACAGGAAACAATCGATCGTGATATGATTATTATCTGTTAAAAAATAATAGTGATGAACGTAGAATATTTTTACGTGTAAACTGAATAGTACAATTTTCCGTCGAGATATCGATAACATTAGCACCTTGGTAATTAGTTCGCAAACTACTCTACTGTGCAGTTAACACTTCGATCGCAAATGCAAGATCCCAGCTCACATCACTGTTAAATATACAAGTTCATCTAATTTATTTTAAGCTTGTTCAGAATATTTGAAGAAAGTGAAATTCGATTTCTTTTACCCCTAGCTTCTAGAAAATTCCATTGATCGTTCATGGCCCGACAGTAATATTTATTTTATAAGTTTTAAACTGATAAACAACTTCATGAATGGCTTACCTTCCAAGCGAAACTCCAGGTCCGATATCGTACAGCCTTTCTCGGTGAAAAACAAAGCTAGATCTTTGCTTCCAAAGACTCAGAATTCATTGTTGAAGCCATAAAATCTTATGATGCTATAAATCCCACTGCCGTGAGTAACCTGGCTACCAGATTTACATATTTTTCTCGTATTTTTGGCCGTTACAAACAATGAAATTAGAGTTGAAATGTACCGCGCAAAACTTATTTACATAACAAGGGTTGTGCTCTCATTTGGGTAACCGCTGTGCGCTAAGTATGGCAGATATTCGTCGCTAATTACGTAGGTTTCGGGGAGTGGGTCGAGGGTAGCGGGTGGTCGCAGGGAAATAAATTAACGGAGGAAATCAGTCACATTTCTAGCCTGTGTAGCAGGACATTTCGTTTCATTTTCCAAGTGGCGATATCAAGCAAGCGAGTGAGCAAAAGATTGCCTCTTGTGTGAAAAAAATGGAGAGAATCGGGGAGGGGGTGAGCAAAAATGAAATAGGAGCAGAAGGGGGGGGGGGGTGGGGAAGTCCTTTAAAGTTAGTTTGTAAACCGCACGAGTGAATCGCTTTTTATAACGTTATAAAGCCACTTCAAACCGTCCATTTTGATCTTTGTTATGTTTCCATGTATACTTTAGAGGCAATTCTTAGCTTTCGAGCCTTTCCTGCCGTAAAAACCGGCGTGCAATTCAAGCGAACATGAACTTTATACTGTATTCCCCGCATCAGGACACACTAAGCTTTCTCCACTTTTTCTAATCTAATTAAATTGACCTCTTCGTGTTTGTCTGTTGACGAGCAGGAATGCATTTTGAGGGGAGGATACTGGGGTTGTCCTTAAAGCGGCAATACCGCAAAAAAAAAAATTCCACATCAAATCCAGGGCCGGTAGCTAGTAACAGAAAACCTCGGTCATTTCTTTCGTTTTTGTTGTTTATAGTCTAGTCCGTCTAGTCATCAGAAGCACCCTAAATACCTTTGGAAGAGAATTTAACCTTGACCATTGCCTCAGTCATATTTTTTTCCTGGCTATGGCCCTGAAATCATATTTGAGCAAACCCTCATGTTCCACTCGCTTTCTGGTAATTTCGGTTTCTGTTGGAGGGTTTTCCAGAGCTTATTCGATTTGCTTTTGTTGCCGCTGTATTGTAATATGTGCTTCAGCCTCTATATTGCAAAAATGATATTGTGATGACATTTAATAAATTCTTGTGCCTTTGTAAGTATGCGGACGTCAAGATTCTTTTCTGCGAATGTACAGATGAATAATATTTTTTGCCATGAATATCAATATCGCATTTTCTGTGAAGCGACTAAATACCAATTTAAGAAAATCTGATTTCAAAGTGTACAATAGTTTGCAGTACACGAGCTTTTCAAACGGTCGAATCTCTGCTTATTGTCGCCCCCTGAAGGTAAGTTTCTTGTAAGTTTCTCAGTTTAAATATATTGAAATGACTAGTATAATAAAGCGCATTTCTGATAAACAAGCTGTTAGCTCCACCGAACCGCTAGCGCCACCTACTGAATATGATCCGCAGTTTAGACGGTCGACAATTTTAGATTTTTTAGAGAATATCAAATTTGCTGAACGATTTACACCTTTTGCTGTTCGTTTACAGAAAATAAACATTCATTTGTGTCCAAATTTCTTTCTTTATGGTCAATAAACTCTCATTAACACCAATATGACCTTCATTTGCGCGTAAGGAAC